TGTCTGAAATCACTGCATCACTTTTTTACTGTCTGGCTGGGACACACAATCAACACTCATGGAAACAGCAGTCAGGAAATCAAACAACGTATTTCATTAGGCAAATATTCTGCAAAAGATCTCGTTACAGTGCTGAAGAGCAAACATAACACTTTGAGGACTAAGGTGCACTGACCCAAGTCATGGTATTATTCAATCTCCTCAACTGCATGTGAAAGTTGGACAGCGAATAAGTAAGACCAGAGAAGAATCAATGTATTTAATTTATGGTACTGGCAAAGAATATTGAAAATACCATGGACTGCCAGAAGAACAAACAAATCTATGTTGGGATAAGTGTAAGCAGACTGTGCCTTAGAGTTAGGATGGTGAGACTTCAGCTTCCATACTTTGGAGGTTATCAGAAGGGATCAGTCCCTGGAAAAGGACATCCTGCTTGGTAGAATGGAGGGTTAGCAAAAAAGAGGAGGACTGCCACCAATATGGATTGGTGTAGTAGCAACAGGAATGGGCTCAAGCGTAACAACCGTGAGGGTGGTGGTGCAGGACCAGGCAGTGTCTGGTTCTGTTGGGCACAGAGTCACCATGAGTCGGAGCTGACTGGATATCACTGACAACTCCCGGAGTGTCACTCATGTCCTGTTCACTAGTTAGAGTCTGACATGTGGAAAGCACAGAAAACCTACCTGTCTGTTGAATAAGACCTGGGGTCTGTTCCTGTTGACTCAGAATCGACTCAGTAACACACAACCACATCTATCTACCTGTCTGCCTATCCATCACCAGTTACTGTCCTGCTACACAGAAGGCCTCAATAGACACCACAGAAGAAGCAAAGCAGACGATGATACTGTTATTAGTCAGCAGTATTTACTGACTGTCTGTCTCATGTCTGGCAGTGCAGGAAGCAGAGAGTCCTTCCAGGAGGCAAAGCAAGACCAGCTGAAGAATGACTGTGGCTCTGGTTTCTGACCCAGAGTGCCCCCTACAGGGCACAGAAGAGCTGCCCCAATGTGTTCCCTAAGCTGTGAGTGTGTCAAGAGTAGATTGTTAGGTCTTTCTCCCGGGGAGTAACTAGTGGGTTTGAACCACCAACCTTTTGGTTAGCCACTGAGTGTTTTAACCACTGTGCCACCAGGGTTCACTACTAACTTGACAAAATCTACAAATAGATGAAGGCAGTTATGTCATTAGATAAATCTGTGTTACTCAAAGTACACAATTCCCTCATGCGCTGTTGATGCTGATGCCACAGGGAGGGAGGTTCTCCCACTTTTTTTCTCTCCAGTGTTGCAATACTAGCTATAGCTACGCTACACTAGATATGTTCTGGGAAGCAGACGAAAGACAGAAAGAACCTCTAAGGTCTCTTTCAGCACTCACTTTCTAGGAAATTGTATTTGTACAGGAAATGAGCTTTTGCAATGTTTAAAACATGGCATTCTTTGATTTATACTTAAAAGTTGGAAAAGAGTTTTAAAACATTTTTTAACGAGATGTCATTTTTTTGTAGATGAGATTTACCATGGAACCCTAATGCACGAACCACACCAACATGGCACAACAGGAGGCATGGCCAGGCCTCTGTCCGTGTAAGAAAGCAGGGCTTCATCCTGCTTCTGAAGGGGCCCCTGACAGCTCTGAACCACAGATGGTTTAAGAAACAAGGGAAAGGAAGTTCACAACAATTAGATAAAGAAATGCATGGGGAAAGAGAAAGCTTTTCCTGAGTGTGGAAGGAGAAGTGGAGTTGGAAAACAGCCATCATAGTAAAGAGCAGAATCATCAGTGAATGCTGCCTCCAGGAGGCAAGTTTACAGCAAGCAGAATACTGGCACACAGACTTCTTATAAGGGGGGAAACCTTGCTTCTAAGCGGGAAACATTACTGACCTGGATACTTCAAAAACAGTCATGTGATACAAAGAAAGGCTGAGGAACTGTTGCAGATTAAAAGGTCAAAGAGACATGACAATTAAATATAACACCCGGCCTTCAACTGGGCCACATTATTGGGACAACTGAACACTTCTGATACGCAGTGTGGATTGGATAAAAGCATCTGATCAGTGTTACATTTCTAGAGTTTGATAATTAGATTATGGCTATGCCAGAGAATGTTCCAGTTCTTAGGAGAAACACACTGAAATATCATGGCCTAAAGAGGATACAGTGTAGGAAACCTAGTCATCTTTGTTGTATTGTTGTGGTTGTTGTTAAGTGCCATCGAGTCGGGTCCGACCCATAGCGACCCTGTACAGGGTTTCCGAGGGTGTAAATCTTTACGGGAGTAGAAAGCCTCATCTTTCTCCTGTGGAGCGGCTGGTAGTTTCGAACCGCTGACCTTAAGGTTCGCAGCTCGATTCGTAACCACTACGCTACCAGAGCTCTTAGTGCCATTGAATTAGGGCTTCCAAGGCTACAAATCTTTGTGGGAGCAAAAAGCCTCATTTTTCTTCCACAGAACCACTGGTGAACCACTGACCTTGTGGTTCTCATATGGAGTGCTTCTCATATGGAGCTATGATAGTCCCTAATTAACTCTTAAGAGAGTTCATAAAAAAATAAATACTACTATGCATTTGGAGTCCTGGTGTGCAGGTTAATGTGCTGGACTACAAGGTCAGTTTGAACCACAAGGTCAGTGGTTCAAGCTCACCAGTCACTCCTTGAAAACCCTATACAGGGTCACTGTAAGTCGGAACCAACTTGACTGTACTTAGCAACAACAATGTATTTATGTATTGGAAAATCAACTTGAGAGCACCAGCATCTGTATATAGAAAGCAAGTGGCTCTCAGAGTGTGGCCCTGAGAACTTGTTAGAAATGCAGATTCTTGGGCCCCAACCCAGAGCTGTTGAATCAGTTGTTTGGGGCTGGGGTTCATCAATCTGTGTTCTCCAGTGGATTCTCATTTGTGTTAAAATTTGAAAATCACTGATGCAGAGAGAATAAGACAAAGTGGTGAAACGCTAAAGCAAAGCAGTAGATCTGGGTAAAGGGTATAGGGGGCTAATCTGTTACTAGTTGTGTGCCAACTTCACTGGGCCACGATTTTCAGTGGTGTGTCCGTTGAGATGTAGTTACCTCCCAGGATGGCACTGAATATAATGTAACCACCTCTATGATGAGATCCGCTATGAGCAACCAATCAATTGAAAGGAAGTTTTCTTGGGGGTGTGGTCTGCTTCCAATATACTGTAGTTGTTAGGTGCCATCGAGTTGGCACTGACGCACAAAGGCACTATGTACAACAGAAGGAAACACTGCCCAGTCCCACGCCAACCACACACTCGCTACAACGCCTGAGTCCATTGCTTCCACCACTGTGCCAATCCATCTCGTTGGGGGTCCTCCTCTTTTTCTCTGACCCTCTACTTTATCAAACATGATATCCTTCTCCATGGACTGGTCCCTCCCGTTATGTCTGAAGTAAGTGAGACGAAGTCTAGCCACCCTGGCTTCTAAAGAGCATTGTGGTTTTACTTCTTCCAACACAGATCGGTTTGTTCTTCTGGCAATCCATGGCACTTTTAATATTCTCCGCCAACACCGTAACTCAATTGCGTATGACATTACTGAAAATACCATGGCTTGGGTCAGGCACACCTTAGTCCTCAAACTGACATCTTTGTTCTTAAATACTTTAAAGAGTTCTTGTGCAGCAAATTTGCCTAATGCAGTATGTCGTCTGATTTCTTGAATGCATCTTCCCCAAGTGTTGACAGATGATCTGAACAAAATGATGTCTTTGATAACTTCAATCTTTTCTTCATTTATATGGATGTTGTTTATAGGTCCGGTGGTAAGGATTTTTGTTTTCTTTTCATTGAGGTCCAACCCACACTGAAAACCGTGGTCTTTGATCTTCATCCGCATTTTAAGTCCTCTTCGCTTTCAATAAGCAAGGTTGTATCATCTGCATATCGCAGGTTGTTAATGAGACTTCCTTCAATCCTGATGCCATGTTTTTCTTCATAGAACCCAGCTTCTTGGATTATTTGCTCAGTATACAGGTTGAATAAGTATGGTGAAAGAATACAACCCTGGCCCACATCGTTCCTAATTTTAACCATTCAGTCTTTCCTTGTTCTGTTTGAACAACTGCCACCTCTTGGTCTATGGACAGGTTCCTCATGAGCACAATTTAGCGTTTTGGAATTCTCATTCTCTACAATGCTGTCCATAGCTTGTCACGATCCACACAATCGAATGCCTCTGCTTAGTCAATAAAGCACAGGTAAACATCTTTCTGATAACATCTGCTTTCAGCCCAAATTCATCTGACATCAGCCATGATATCCCCTGTTCCATGTCCTCCTCTGAATCTGGTTTGAATCTCTGGAAGTTTTCTGTCAATGTATATCTTACTTTAAGCAAAATCTTCCTTGCATGTGGTATTAATGATATTGTCCGATAAACTCCTCATTCCACTGGGCTCTCAGAAAAAGCTTGCTTGCTTTCTGTTGTGCTGGCATCTAACCACTGGTTCTTTGGACTTGAGCCAGTGGTCTGCTCTAGGACCTGCCAATCCTGGGAGTCATCAGCAGCCTATCTTCTTACCTGCCTGACCGGTTTGTCTCCTGACCTACCCATCTTGGTGCATCAGCCCTGCAGCTATGTGAGTCAGAAGCCTCCAGTCTGACATCTGACCCAGGGGTTTGGGACTTCCCCACTTTTACAAGGGAGGGAGCCATTTCCTTGAGTATATAAACTTCACTAGTTTTGCTTCTCTAGAGAACCCTGCCTAAGACATTAGTTTTGCAACTTTCCTTAAAAGTTTGAATTATTTTCAAAATCAAAACCAACAATAGCAACAAAAAGACTAACCCTGGGCAATGTCTGAAGACAGGTGGAGAGAGGACCCAGGAGGTCAGGAGGTGAAGGGGTAAAAGTCAGAACTGAAGCTGCAGCAACTAACCCAGCATGGGGAGCAGGACCTCTGCAAAGCCTTCAAACCACAGCTCTGCTTCCAGAGAGTGGACGCCAAGGGCACGAACCTGAGTAGGAGAGGCCAGCGATCTCTATGAAGAGCTCTTCTTCTGAGAAGCTCTCAGGGAGCATGAGGAACGCCGTGTTCACAGCGCTCTGCAGATTCTTATCGAGGGCTGCCCTCAGACTGGCATTTTCATTCATTGCTACGATTTTCACCTGGAAACAAAACAAGACAAAAAAGCCGAACATTCAGAAGAAAAATCCCCCAAGTGAAGCTCGAGTTCTGGATTCATTGCACATGCCCTGGTGCTCTCCTAAACTCCTGGCACTGACAGGTCATCAGCCTTCCAATTAGCAATCCCAGAATCTCCCATTTAGGCCAGAGTTTGAGAAATCAAACACAGGATACAGCCAAATGCCAATGAAAACAAAGCGAATATTCCTCATGAACAAGGAAATTCACCATGGGGTTTGAAAGAGAAATCAGTACAGCAGGTAGATTTCCTTTAGTTTATTTTCTAATCTTGCTTTTTAAAATTTAATTTTCAGGAGGACAAAGGCATTTTATTTCTTTATTTAGATTTCATCTCTTGCCTATATATAATCTGGGCAGCTCATGTCTTATTGTTTGAGTTCTAGATAAACTGTTGTTGGACTTGAAAGTGGAAAAAGAAAGGCAGGTACGGTAGGTAGGTACAGTGTGGGAGACAGGGAGGTGCGTGCTCAAGTCCAGGTACTTACTAACTGTGTGTGTGTGTGGGCAAATTACTTCTCTGAACTTAAGTCCTCTTCTTTACAACAATGACAACAGATGCGCATGAAGATGTCAGAGATGGAACGAAATCGTATATGTAAAGTGCCTAGGGTGTTATTGAACGCCTTGTACTCAGTAAATGCATATTGATTCTTTTCCTTCACTTCCACTGGTTACCAAATGTACAGTTCCTCTTGAATAGGTTATTTCTTCTAAAAACACAGCAGAGACCACTAAACATAAAGAGCTCCAATCTGTCCTGAGATTCAGAGTCTTTTTAAAGACCTTCATAACCGAGGTGGAGAATGCGGCCCAGCCCCAGCTCCCTTCTCACTGGCTCTTTGACTAGGGATGGAATGCTGTATCAGTGAAAAAGCACTAATAACAGTAATGCTCAGAAGGTGGCTGGTTAGATTATAATGAGCTGTCACACACAAACCCTCAGCGGACACGTGTGTTTCCTGGTGCACAATGGAAGGATTTCTCTGGAACAGGGGTTCTCCACTTGAGGGGCATCCGAGTCACCAGTAGGACTTGTTAAAGCACCTGCTGAGCCCCATCCCCAGACTTTCCGACTCAGAATGCCTGGGTGAGTGCTGATGATGGATACTTCTAACAACGTCCACATGCTCAGAACCACTGCTCTAAGGTACAAGAGGGGCTTCAAAAGGTTCTTGGAAAGATGGAATGAAAAGATAATGGTATTTCCCCATAGACTTTTTGAAGTCCCCTCATATATACTTAGAGTAGAACTGCCCAACTACTCTTTAGAGTGATACTACCAATTTAGATTCTTGCCATCACCTTTTTAAAACATCATGCTGTTTCCAACTGATTTCTAAACCAAGAAAGGGTCTTTTGTTGCTATTGTTAAGTGCCGTTGAGTTGGCTCTGATTCATAGAGACACTGTACAGGGTTTCTAAGGAACAGCTAATGGATTTGAACTGCTGCCCTTGAAGTTAGCTGTCCAGTGTTATCCTGCAGTGCCACACTAGGACTCCAGCAAAGGGTCTACAGTCTTTAATGAACACACCGAGACCCTGGAAAGCAGCCCTGGTGGTGTAGTGTGTTAGGCACTGGGTTACTAACCACATGGCTGGAGGCTCAAACCACCAGCTCCTCCATGGGAAGTTACTCTTGGAAACCCTATACAGGATCATTAGGAGTTGGAATCGAGTCCACAGCAGTGAGTCTGGTCTTGTGGGGGGTTACATACTAGAAGGAGTTCTGGTGTTGCACTATAGGATACGTACTTGACTGCTAACCTCAAAGTTGGCTGTTCAACTCTACCATATAGATTTATCTAATAGGATATGTACTGGACTGCTAACCACAAGGTTGGCTGCTCAACTCTACCATATAGATATATCCAACAGGATACGTACTGGACTGCTAACCACAAGGTTGGCTACTCAACTCTACCATATAGATATATCCAACAGGATACGTACTGGACTGCTAACCACAAGGTTGGCTGCTCAACGCTACCATATAGATATATCCAACAGGATACGTACTTGACTGCTAACCACAAAGTTGGCTGTTCAACTCTACCATATAGATTTATCTAATAGGATAAGTACTGGACTGCTAACCACAAGGTTGGCTGCTCAACTCTACCATATAGATATATCCAATAGGATACGTACTGGACTGCTAACCACAAGGTTGGCT